GGGAGGAGCAGCAAGGACCTACCCCACTGTATTGTGACAGCCAGGGTGCCATTGCTCTTGCTAAGAACCCTGTGTTGCATGGACTCACGAAGCACATGAGGGTGAAGTGGCATTGGACGAGGAGCATGGTAACCGCGGGTGAAGTTGAGTTGCGCTACGTGAAGACCACGGGGCAGCCGGCTGACATGATGACCAAGAGGCTGGTGGAGCAGCAGCATTGGAAGTGTTGCAAGCTGGCTGGGATGGCTCTGAACTGACAGAGCAACATATCCTAAGGCCAACAATCCGAGGGGGAGTTTGTTGGTGCAACCCTATGGTTTGCACTCGGCTTGTTGTCCGTGTGCGTGCATGTGTGTGTGTGTATGGAATGGTATGAGGGCATGGGATAATATATATTTCATGCTTATAATTGTGTGTGAATGTTGAGTCATGATGTCGAGTGTGTGTGTTGAGTCAATAGCGAGTTATCGCTAGACGCGTGTTACGCGGTCATTTGTGTCTCGCGCGCGGTTTCTATTTTGTCGTGCGCGGTTTCTATTTTGTCCTGTGTCGAACGTTCGGTGTGTCGCAGGTGTGTGCAGCAGACCCATCAAGAACTCAAGGACGAGTTTGTGATGAAGAGCCTGAGCCTTGGTGTCAAGCCTCAGGTGATTTCAAAGCTCGCCAAAAGGGTACACCTCAAGATATTGAAGATAGTTACATTACTTTGTGTAGTGTAACATTTCACTTGGTGTAGGCCCTAGTGAAGGGTAGTTTCGAGACCCTTCGTGGTTGGGGACAGTGTGGCACTGCTCCACATCACTGTACCTCGGCTCTTGGGGTTTGTAGGAGCTGGGAGTCATTCCCAACTCGTAACTCTTCAGATCTCTTCCTATTTTTGTGTTCTAAGACTATAGTGGCTGCCATAGTGCCGTTCGTTCAAACCAACGCTGTGTCGTCAATACTTGGTCAAATTGTGCGATCTAAATTGCCTATTGTAGGCGACAATAAGACGCTCCAGATCCAAGTTGAATCAAGTCATTTGAAGCTGTGACCAGAACGCTATGAACGTTTGAAGCCGCTGTGCAGAAATCCGACTGTGCACTCTATCTTTCGTTTTAGGCACATTGGAGCCTACTGTGACTATAACAGGCTGCACAGGAGTTACGCTGGCTCACCTACCTGCTGATTGACTTGGGAGAGCGGCCTCGTTCTCCTCTAGTGCTGTACATCGACAACAAGGCTACCATTGCCTTGTGTGAGGAGCACAGACTGGAGCACAGAACGAAGCACATTGCTTTGCGTTACTTTCTGGCTTAAGAGCTGCAGCAGCGTGGTCAACTTCGTCTATGTTACGTGGCCACTCGAGCCAACACTGCTGATATATTCACCAAGGCACTTCAGTCTGGTAATCATCAGCGTTTCTGTTCTATGCTAGGGCTTGTGCCCACTTTTCCTCACTTGTTGTAGGCTTTGCTTGTACTGTGATCTATATATATACCTGCATGCTTGCTTTGCTTGGTAGAGATCACTGTGTTGTTTGTGTTGCATATATGCCTCTGCATGTGAACTGGCCTTGTGGCTCTTTGCTTGTGGTGAGAGTGTCTGGTGACGTTGTGATCCACCCTGAGCTTGCTTTGCCTTTCTTGACTGGTCTTGTGACCTCTTGCTCTCCCCCACTTTGCCTATGGGGGTGTGTCAAATGTTATATCTGCTACAGTTTGTTTAGGCTGTAGTGGGGTAGTTACTATGGGGTACAGTAAGTTTAGGGTTTCCTACTTGTACCCAACACTTTCCTAGTGCAATCACTCGTTCATTTTGACAAGACAGAGACCGTTATGCCCGCCAGCGTGCTGACCTCACAGCGTGGAAGTCGCGTGACGCTGCGGCCTGCATCGCCCTCAGAAGCCTCCTCCTTGAGTCTGAGGAGGCCCACATCACTCAGGTTCACATGGCTAGTGAGTTCGTGACTGCGATCAAGGCCAGCTGCGCTACTCCCACCACTGTCTCTCTTGGTCGCCTGTTCCTCCCGTTCCTGTTTCTTGACCTCGCCTCGTTTGAGCGCTCTGCTGACTTGATCACTCACCTGCGCTTGCTCGATTCTAGCTACCGCGCTGCCTGCACTTACGAACAACTTGCATTGCTCCCTCCCCCTATGGCGATTACTATCTATTTAATCGCCACTAGCCTCCCTGACCGTCTTGCCTTGGTTCGTGACGCACTTCTTCTGAAGCACCCTAGTGAGCTCACTATCGAGATCCTTGAGTCTGCCCTCAACAACAGCCCCTCCCCTCGCAGCAGCCACAGCAACAGCAACGGCAGCAGCAGGTTTCAGGGTAGGGGTCAGGACATCGTCAGCTGCAGCGCGGTGTCGTCCACCCTCCTTGCACCTATCACGTTCTGACAGGTGCTAGCCGCGGCCAGCCTTGTGGCCGCAGCCACCCACCGGGTCAGTGCTTTGCTCAGCTTACTGACACGGCTCGGTTGGCTTACGGCATTGACGGCCCTGCCCCAGACTGGCTTCCCCTTGTTCAGACGTACGGCCCCGCTCTATGGGGCATGTCGGCTTCCCAGTTGGTGGATCTCTTAGGATCTCCTCATGCTATGTATGCTGTTGTTGATTCTAGTGCTTCTGACTCTGTTTACTCGAGTGTTGTTAGCTTAGGTGCTAGTCTTGCTGACATGCCTGTTGCTAGTGTAGATACTTGTGTAGACACTAGTCCAGGAGCTTCTCCGGAGGACGCTTCGCTGTCTTTCACTTTGGGCTCCGGAGCTTCGCACTGTTTCTTCCGCGAGTGCATGACACTTACCCCGCTTCCTACGTCGGTCTCTGTAGCACTGGCTGATCCCACTTCGGGACCAGTCACTGCTCGCTACACTACTACGCTTCCGTGCCTGGCTGTTCCCTCCGGTTCTCTGACCGGCTTCCACGTCCCATCGTTCTCGAGGAACTTGGTGGGCGTCCGGCCGCTCGTGAGTCAGCACGTGGGTGTGTGGATTGAGCCTTTTGGCGAGACTGCGACTTGTGTCGACGGGGACACGTACGCGCCTCTTGCCACCTTTACCGCTGAGCCGGGCTCTGGTCTCTACACACTTCACACTGGCCCCCGAGGGCAGCAGCAGCAGCAGCAGCAGCAGCGGCAACAGCAACAGCGGTAGCAGCAGCAGCAGCGGCAACAGCTACTGCAGCAGCTACTGCCCCCGACCCTTGTCACTGTCCCCCGTCAGGTTCCCGCGTCTCACCAGGTTGCCGCGTCTCCCTAGGTAGCAATGTCTGGTCAGGTTCCAGTGTCGGGTCCAGTTGCTGCGTCGTGCTCCTGCTGGTCGCTTCCCACCCCACTGTTTTGTGGCACCACCGGATGGGGCAGCCGTCCATTTGTCGCCTGCGCGCTATGTCTAGTCAGCGTCTTGTCTTAGGCCACCCGCGTGTCTTGCCGTCGCTGCCGCCTTCGCTTGCGCCACCCTGCGGTCCCTGCGTCGAGGGTCGGCTGCGCGCCACCCCTCACTCCTCCTCCCTTCGTCCAGCCACCGAGTCCTTCGAGATTCTCTACTTGGACGTCTGGGGCCCCGCCTCGCGCCCTGGCCCTGAGCGAGAGAGTTTCTTTTTCATGGTCGTTGACGACTACTCCCACTACACCACAATGTTCCCGTTGGCAAAGAAGTCCGGCGTGACTTCTACGCTGATCCGGTGGTTACTTACCACTGCGGACACTCGTGGTCATCGTGACAGCTGTCTTCACTCTGACCGCGTGGGTGAGTTTCGCTCTGACAATCTCGCTGGATTCTGTCGCGAGCAGGGCATCCGACAGTCGTAGACGCTTCAAGAGTCCCCACAACAAAATGGGGTTGCTGAGCGTCACGTAGGCTTGGTCATGGAGATCGCCCGCACCTCCATGACTCACGCCCATGCCCCCCATTTTCTGTGGCCCTACGCGGTTCGGTACGCCGCCTGGACTATATTATGCTATTTCTAGCTTAGGTTTATTTTATCATGCATAGATATGCTTGATTTCCTACGTTAGGTTCATCCCTATATTTTATTACATATATAGCACCGAACCAGCCTACGTGTACCGAACTAGAGCCTATTCGATTTCCACCGAACTGCTTTCTACTGAGTTCAGGAAGGTTCTGTTCGTGGCACTTTGCGACCCTCAGAACATTCGCGTAACACCTAGGTAACTTGCCTTGTGTCGAGACTATATATAGCCTCGTATTGTACCAAGGTGGATAATTGAACTACAACTCTCTTTTCTGAGCTCGATGGGCCACATCGATCCAGTCAAGCGCTGAAGGACCTGCTGCACCATGTGTGACTGAGTCAGGGTAATGGTGCGCTGTGCTCTGTCCCGGGTGATCTGCAAGCCAAGGTAGCTGCGCAGTTCACCCAAGTCTGCGCACGTGTGTCTCTTCTGCAGCTCGGACTTCATGTGGGCGAGTCCAGCAGTGTCAGCAGTGGCAAAGACCAAGTCGTCGACGTACACGAGGATGTAGAACGGCGGCAGAGAGGTGTCGGTGCGCAGAAACAGCGACGGGTCGGCTGTACAAGGAGCAAACCCAAGAGCCGCAAGTGTAGTCCTCAGTGTGTCGTGCCACTCACGGGGGGCCTGGCGGAGACCGTAGACTGGCTGCCGGAGGCTTCACTGGGTACCACAAGGAAAAGTCCCAGTGAAGCCTGGAGGGCGGCGCAGCCAGATCTCCTCGTGCAGGCTGCCTTGCAGGAAAGCTGTGTTGAAGTCAAGAGAGTGAAGCTCGTAGTCACGCTGAGCGGCTACGTGCAGCAACACCCAAAGAGTGGTCATCTTCGGGGTGGGAGAGAAGGTCTGAAAGTAGTCAACTCCCTGCCGCTAACTGAAGCCTCGAGCCACGTAACGCGCCTTGAATACAGGCGGAGAACCCGGCGGCCGCTTCACCCTAACAATCCACATGCCACTGACGATGTTCGCCCCAGGTGGGGGAACCTCATCGACGTAGGTGCCTGTGGACTTCCTGGAAGCCATCTCTGCGTCCATGGCCGACTGCTACTGTGAGGAGTAGGGACCCTCGATCGCATCACCGTACGATCGAGGAGTCGAGATGTCTGGTACTTCCGGGTCTCCCTCAGGGGCAATCAGCGTGGACACGAGATGGGGCAAAGCAGCCGCAAAGCACTGGAACTCCTCCTGCCTGTCCTCAAGGACGTCCGTGCTAAGAGCACACTCACCCCCGACGGACGGAGGACAGACAGACTCAGACTCAGCAACGAGACTGGCAGCGTAGTCTAGACGACAACGAGCAGCAAAGTTGACAAGCTCAGCAACTAGGGTAGATGCAAAAGTGGACTCAAAGGAAGGGTCAGTGACAACAGTAGCAAGAAGGCGCGTGACCGAAGGACTAGCAGCACAAAGAGAGACAGACTCCGGGTCACCAAGAACAGGAAGAAAGGACCATGGAGGAGACGGCAACGGGACACGCAGAGGGGCAGTGGATGGACGCAGTGCCATCTGGTGTGTGCCGGGGACTGCAGGAGGACGAGGACGCGCAGCACGATGACTAGTGCGAGCAGCACGAAAAGGCGACGCGGGACAAGACGCAGGCTCACGACGCTCAGCAAGACCTCCAGTAGGACCAGTGTAGGGAGAAGGAGCAGGAAGAGGAGAGGCGGGCTGTAACTGTGACTGCGACTGGACAGGTTGCGAACACTCTAAGGGAGGAGCAGGACAAGTAGAGGGCGGGAGACAAGGAATCTGCTCCAGGAGCGGAACGAAGTACGGCCTCGGCCGCGCAGCGCCTCCAGAACCAGCATGGACGGCACTAGTACCCACACCGGCAGCACTAGCGCCAGCAGCACCTCCAGCTCCAACACCGCCAACTCCAGCACCCTTAGAAGCACCCGCGCCAGCAGGCACGCCAACGCCAACACCCCCAGCAGCTCCAGCTCCAGTAGCACCAACTCCAGGAGGACCGTCAGCACCAGCAGCCTCAGCAGCACCCCCAGACGCACCAGCACCAGTACAAACACCAGCGCCAACACCCCTAGCAGCTCCACCTCCAGTAGCACCAGTACCGCCAGCAACTCCAGTAGGACCAACCCCAGTAGCCCCAGGAGCACCCCCAGTCTCAGCAGCACGTCTCCAGCAGCAAGCAAACCTCTCGCGCAGCTCCTGTGGAGAGAGCGGCTCCCGCCTCGACGAAGCACCGCCGGCGGCAACACGAGCAGACCCAGCGCCCCCAAGCTCGGCACCCCCAGGCTCCGCACCCCCAGACCCAGCACCCCCAGGCTCAGCACTCCCAGACTCAGCACCCCTAGTCTCAGCACCCCCAGACCCGGCACTCCCAGTCTCAGCACCCCCAGACCCGGCACCTGCAGGCTCAGCAACTCTAGCAGCACCAGAGTCAACAGTTACCTCGACACGCTCGACTGCGTCTACCTGGGACACACCTGACGGGGCAGGACCCTGAGGGGGGAGGGGGTCTACCGAGGGAGGACCTGGTGCAAGGAAGATCGGCAGCGGGGGGAGAGGCGCAGTGCGGTAGGGGAAGAGACGGTAGTAAGGTACCGACTCGTCAAAGGTGACGTCCTGGGAGGACTGGACACGGCGCGATGTGGGGTGGTAAAACTGCAACCCAAGCGCGTCAGGGGGGAAGCCAAGGAAGACGCAGGGAACAGCACGGGGGGACAGCTTGTCCGCAAACAAGTCGCGGACAAACGCCCGAGATCCCCAGACCCAAAACGCAGACGCATCGCCAACCTTCCCGGTCCACCGCAAGGCGGGGGAGGTCTCTGGCAGGGAGACCCCGGGCTGAAGGTTGAGCTGATGGGCGGCGTACTGAACCGCAAATGGCCACAGAAAATGGGGGGCAGCCGCATGCATCATGGACGTAAGAGCGACGTCCATGACCATGCCAATGCGGCGCTAAGCAATCCCATTTGGCTGTGGAGAGGCCAGAAGCGTGAAGGTCTGGCGGATGCCCGGTGCACGACAGAAGGCTCCCAAACGGGCAGAGGAAAACTCCCCGCCTTTGTCTGAGTGCAGACGCAGAACAGGAAAGTCCGAGCCAAAACTCTCTCTGAGCTGGAGACGAGCTGCGTGGATCCAGTCGATCAACACCTGAGTGACGTCACCCTTGCTACACAAGGGGAAGACTGTGGTGTAACGCGAGTAGTCGTCAACCACCAACAGAAAGTACCACTCGCGCCCCTGCCCACTGACGTGGGCTGGGCCCCACACGTCCATGAGGAGAGTCTGCAGCGGAGCCTCTGTCGGATGAAACTCGGAGGAGTGAGGGGCGGCGCGCTGTCGCCGCTCGATGCAAGGGACGTAGGTAGGGCCAGGCCCCGGAGGAAGGGGAGGGAGAGACCGAGGGAGACCAGAGACAAGGACACGGAAGACCATTCCTCGGAGACGAGGCAAGGAGGGGTGACCAAGGCGGTGGTGCCAAAGGAGAGTCTGGTGGGACAGAAGACGACACGAGCAGGGAGCAGACTCAAGACCAGATCTGGACGCTGCAGCAAACACCTGACTTGACGCAGCTACCTGGGCAGACTCAGCACCCGGAGGAGACTCAGTAGTAAGGGTGTACAGGTTCGACCGTGGCCGACGGGAGATGGTGGCCAAGTGTCGGCCTGTCCGGACACACGTGCAATGGGTCACTCGCTGACTCGCAGGAGTGAACTGGTCAACCCCCCTATCCTGTAGGTCCGCTCCACTCACCAAGCTCGTAGAGAAAGAGGGGAGGTAGAGACCTGACAGGGTGCCAGAGGTGGCTGCCGGGCACGCTAAGACAGTGGAGAAGCTAGCAAGGACAGGACCCCCAGAGGGGTCTGCTAGGGAGACTGCAACCGGCCGAACGAGCGGCGTAAGAGTGGTGTGGTCTTGAAAGAAGGAGCGTGACGCACCCGAGTAAAGGGTGAAGGTGTGGAAGGCCTGAGCCGACGTAGTACCTAAGAGAGCAGACTCACCAGCACCTGGGGCAGCAGACGCACTAGCACCTGGGGCAGCAGACGCACTAGCATCTAGAGCAGCACCTTCACCAGCACCTAGAGCGGTGGCCTCAATGCCCGGGTCAGGCGGTACACACAGGTAACAGTCACCGTCAACACTTGTAGTCACAGAATCAATGGCAGCAAGGATAGCATCATAGTCAAGATCAAAGACGGCAACCCCCGTCCCAGACAGATCTCCCCAGCAGCGCCGACCGACTTGAAGCCAACGAGGTCGGCCGCAGCAGCAGAGGCAAGAGAGGGCAAGAGGCGGGAGGGAGAACACCCCTCAAAGACGGGGGTGCGAGGGTCACCACGAGAGGCTCCTATAGCGACTATGCTCTTCTCTCCAGCTAGGAGGGCCTTCTCCAGGAGGTCAACGGTGAGAGTGGTGGGGCAAACTGAGAGGAAGCTCTGATACCATGTGAAGATTAGAACGAGGGAATGGTATGAAATATGAAACAGTTGGGTACAAGTACTAACCCTAATTGGGTTGTACCCCTTATGGGCTACCCCACTACAGCCTACACAAATGTATAAGCTATAATGCTATGACATGTTTGACAAACATTCCAACTAATAAAGCCTTGAAGTCAACCAAATATAGGCTCTATGAGTCGGTGTGCAACATTTATGTATTGTGGATGAGATGTGGTGCACGAAATCGCCAAGGCATGCATCGTTCGACTCGGCTTGGTTAACATCATGCATCAAATTCACACGGTGGGTCATAAAACACCGTTCAGTATTGGTTCTCAACGGTCAGTATTTTCAATGGACTGAGGGCGCAGCCTGTTTATTTTCCGCTGCCCTCTCTCATTTTGCTTTCCTCGCGGTGTCCCTTTTCTACTATGTCGTGAATCAAAGAATGGAAACTTTGGTTCCACTTTGACTCAGGATGCCACCTAGGCACCCAGTTGCCTCGGGCTTGCAATGGAGGCTGCGTATGCACACGCCTTTTCCCGCCCAGTTCCATTTGCTGCTTATGCACCCACTCCGCTGGGCTGCCAAGTAGTGAACCCGATATCCCTCCCCTTTTTCACATCACCGCTCGCTGCATTCCCCTTTTCTCCCACCCTCTATGGCTGCCCAGCTCCATAGCCCGGACGATGAGATGACCCTCGTCGACGATTTCCATTCCCGTTATGCCCCGCCGGAGACTCGCAGTGGTGGAAATTCTCTTTCCTGGGGCGGGTGCGGAGGCAATTCGCGCCGATCTGATCATGCGCATTTCGAAGCACTAGCAGCCGTTTCACTTATGCTCCAATGCCATCCCCGAGCTCCAGGCTTCATCTGGGAAGTCCTCCGTATCATCCGACATGCATACGCACGCCTCTACTTCGGCCTTCTTAGGACGGCTTTCGCGCACACGTTCCACCTCCCCAACTCCCGCTCGGTGCTGTTGAAAGTGTACGTTGATCGCAACCCGCGCTTCACTACTGCCAAGGCGAGAGGCACTGCCACACGGACTCTTCGTAATGTCCCACCGAGCTACACCCCAGAGGACATTCGCACCTTCCTGATGCATCCGGATGTTGCGGGCGAACCTTTGTGGCTCATGGACCGTCAGTTTTTCCACTAGGTCCAAGATCCGTATGAGGACATGTTGCTTCCCATTTTCATTGGCATCCCGCTCCCCCCGCAGGATGACCCTGGCTTCCTCCGCATCCCCACGGTCATCAACTTCGAAGATGACTCCCCCCCTGCTTTGCTCAACATCTCCTCCCACGTGTGCTCATTCTGTGGCAATAACCACCGCGACGTGGATCACGAGATCTTTCCCACCAAACGCAGGCAGCGCGATGATTGCAGCTCCTCCCTCACCCCCAACCCACCTCTACCCTCCCTGTCCTCCCTAACCCGTGTTCCGCCCCACCCCCCTCTCTGGCCAGCCTCTTGGCTCGCGGGTTGCACTTGCAACCCTCCTAGTTCCCCCAACCCGCCTCAACCCTCTCTTTCCCCCTTCTCCCAAGCTTTGGCTCACCTCCACCTCAGGACTGTCTCTTGGCTCACAGGATGTGCTTGCAGCCCTCCCCTTTCCCCAACCTGCCTATACCCTCCTTGTCCCACTCACCCCGTCCTATGCCCCAACTCCCTCTCGGGCCAGGCTCCAGGAACCCACTCCGCACCTGCAAGTTTCCCTTGTCCCCCACCCTGCCCTTTCCCACTCTATCCCCCCTCCTTCACCTGCTGCTCAATCTTCCTCTGATTCCCTCTCTCACCCTTCCTCTATTTTCGCTGTAATCTAACCCTTCCCTTACTGCTCTTGTTCCTCTTATCTCGTCCTCTACCCAACCTTCCTTCTAGGCCAGGTGCTTGGTTTGCGTGCCACGCATGCACTTTTCCGCAATGACCCCGGTTTGCTCTACATCGGCCTCGAAGCAGATGTCAAGCCTTGGACTTGTGCCTTGTGCAACCTGACATGCGTCGCCGCTCTCGACTCGCCTATGGCCCATATCGCTTCCGAGCTGCACTCTTCCAAGAAGCTCTCAACAACCCACCTCCATGCTGTGAAGGAGAAGAACACTGAGGGCTATGGCCTTCGTTGCTCTCCCCCATATCGCCGACTTTTTTGCCCAGCTATAGATCGGTGGCTGTTAGACACTTGCATTCTTCTATCTTTGCTCTGCTATTGATTTAACTCTGCTGCATACAACAAAGTGATACGCTATTTCATTATTGCTACGGCCTTCATTTCTCTCCCCTAGGCTGCCGACTTCCCTGCCCAAGTGTAGATCGGTGGTTGTTGGACACTTGCATGCCTATCTTGCTTTTGCTGTACGTTGTTGCGTACAACATAGTGTTATGCTACCTTTTGATACTTCTACCTGTTCAGCATCATGTGCACTCCAACATATCGAAAAGGAGAACCCCTATTCTACATTGTCTATTAGCCCATGGATTCACTCACCTTGGTGCGCGATGGGCTCTACCCTATCCACCACGATAAGATATCTCAGAATACTATACATCAATATCAACGGAATGAACGCCCCTTTTAAAATTAATGTTGTAAAAGGTTGGCTCAACTTCTACGGATGGAATATTGACATCGTTATACTTGTCCCGCCTCACTAACAATGTGAAAAGGCTCAACCTTCGCTTTCGCCCTCACGCCTCCCACACAATGGCCCGCCATTGTAAAACCCCCACGTCTAGAGCACGTCCCTCCCCCGAAGGCATCCCTGTCGTCGTCTTTAACAATTCCGTCTCGTTTACCTCTCATACACCGTCAATCGACGGACGTCTTCTCTCCGTCGATGTCAATTTTCACCACGAGCAAATAAGACCCATATCTATATGCGCCCCGTCTCATGCCACTAACAGACGCCCTTGGTGGCGCTCATGCCTTGCTCCGATGCTAGATGCTCCATCAGTTGCGTCTGCAACTTTACTTATTGGGGACTTCAACTCTGTAATCCACCATTCTGATCGCAACCGGCCCCTGAACCGTCATGAACAAAGTGAAGCCTCCGCCATCGAGGCTCTACTATCCGAACACTCGCTCGTTGATACCTTCCGAGCTCTCCACCCCAACGCCACCGTTTTTCCTAATTTGGACGTCCTCGCACTTCCCCCCGACGTGTGGTCCCCCGATCCGTAGTCCCCCGACCCACTATTACCCATGTTGTGGGCCCTCCGCATGCGGTCCCTGCTCCCGCAATATCCTGACCCACTATACCCCCATTTGCGGGCCCTCCGCCTGCAATACCACCACGCGCCTCTCGACTGGACCGAATGTACATCTCCACCTCTATCCAGAACTGACTCGCAACATTTCTAATCATTTCTATGCTCCATTATGCTCCCTAGCATTCGAGCTTCCCTCCAGAGCTCCCTGTCGATGGAGGCTCAACCCGTCCCTCCTTTCCCGTCCATACATAGCTAAAGCTTTGGACTATCTCATCCCCGCCTTGCCCCCCTCTCCGTCTCCGGAAGAATGGGACGCACGTTAACATGCCCTTGCATTGTGCATAAAAAAAATCTCCAACCAGGAAAGATGTCGTGTACACAAAATTCTTGAGCTCCTTCACCACCTCATTATCCAACTCCAACTACAATATATCGCCATGCCTTTAGACGCAGTGTCAGCCACTCGCCCGTGCAAGGCCCAGCAACACCTCGCGAATTACTATGTTGCTAAAGCCGCCCAACTTGCTCCCAAAGCTAAGCTCAAGATCCAAGGTCACCGCGATATGGGGATTTCCTCTCTCCTCGCAAGAACTAATGTGAAGAAACTACGAGAAATGAATTGACTAGGAATGAGAAAGGTACAAGTATGAAACCCTAGGAAAGCTGTACCCCATATTGTCTACCCCACTACAGCCTACACAGGCTATATCATATATGTCTGACACACCCCCATAGGCAAAGTGGGGGAGAACAAGGGGTCACAAGACCAGTCAAGCAAAGCGAAGCAAGCTCAGGGTGGATCACAACGTCACCACACATTCCGAGCACAAGTTCAAAGGCCACAAGGCCAGTTCACATGCAGGATTATAAATCAAGGTGAACAAGCAAGACAGTGATCCCAACCTAGCAAGGGTAAACATGCAGGAGCCGGTATCTATAGATCACAGTACAAGCAAAGCCAGGAGGTAAGCAAGTGAGGCCAGGTAGGCACAAGACCTAACATAGTACGGAACCGCTGATGATCACAAGGCTGAAGTGCCTTGGTAAAGATATCAGCAGTGTTGGCCTCAGAGGCCATGTAAGCAAGGCGCAGCTGACCACGCTACTATAGCTCATGTGCAAGAAAGTAATGAAGAGCAATGTGCTTCGTTCTGTGCTCCAGTCTGTGCTCCTGACACAAGGCCAGCATGGCCTTGTTGTCTACGTACAGAAGTGGAGGAGAACAAGGCAGCTCTCCCAGGTCGGTCAAAAGGTAGGTGAGCCAGTGTAACTCCTGTGCAGCCATGGCCCCTACGTAGATCTCAGCCTCATAACTGGAGCTGAGAACAGAAGACAAGCGGCGTGACCGCCAAGAAACAGAGCCGGAGCCAAGGCTGAAGGTGTAACCCTCTGACGACCACTGCGTAGCCAAGTCGTCAGCCCAAGAAGCGTCTGCGTGACCAGTGAGGACAACTCGAGCGCGTCCTCCAAGCACAAGCCCCACGCCCGACGTACTGCACAAGTAGCGCAACACCCTCAAGTCTAGGCTTGTAGCCAAGGGGTACCAGCAGAAGGAGAAGGTGGACTTCAAGGAGCTGTTTGACCCTGTGGTGAAGCCGACGACGCTGCGAACCCTATTCGCGGGAGCCGCCATCAAAGGATGGGTGGTGAAGCAAATGGACATTGTGACGGCATTCCTTAACAGCATCCTTGAGGAGGAGATTTTTATGGCACAGCCAGAGGGGTTTGATGATGGTAGTGGCAGAGTGTGGAAGCTGAAGAAGGCCCTCTATGGGCTGAAGCAGGCCCCTAGGCAATGGTACATGAAGCTGCGCGAAGTGTTGGAGGAGATCGGCTTCACTCCCTCAACGGCCGATCACTCCTTGTTCATGCTTGGCGAGGGGGAGCAGAGGAGCTTCATGGTGGTTTATGTGGATGACATTCTCATATTCTCACCCTCCTCTGACCTTGTGAAGGAGGTGATGCTGAAGCTGCATGACAAGTTCAAGTGCAAGTCCCTTGGTGACGTGAACTTCTACCTTGGGCTCCACATCGAACGAGACGTGGAGAAGCGGAGCATGCGAGTGCACCAACGGAAGTACCTGGAGGCGCTGGCTGCCAACTTCGGCCAGAGTGAAGGTCATGTGGCTACTCCCTTTCCCTCTGGGTTCAAGTGTGTGAAGGGGCCAGAGGAGGAGAGCGTTGGAGAAGAGGAGAGGCGCCGATTTCACTCGTTGGTGGGCAGCCTCATGTATGCGGCGGTAAACACCCGACCGGACGTCGCGTTTGCTACCGGGCAGCTGGCTAGGGTTGTGCAATGCCCTAATGAGGAGCAGATAGCAGCTGGAATGAGGGTGTCCAAGTATCTTGGCCAAACAGCGACCGTTGGGCTGCAATACTCGGCGGCGGCACAAAGGCGCCAAAAGGGCGCGGATGGTGTTGAACCCGGGCGTTTGTTCCTCACCGCCTACTCGGATGCTTCATATGCATCAGAACCAGAGGACATGACAAGTGTGGGAGGCTTCATATGCTGTGTTGGTGGAGGCCCAACTGCTTGGGAGAGCAAGAAGCAGGTTGACCAAGCTTTGAGCTCGGTGGACTCCGAATACATGG